TGCACGCCAGGAGCTCACATGGCCTCTCTGAGGCCCCTCGGTCCCCAGGGTCCCACCCCACCACTCGTGCTGCCACAAGCTCAGCGAGCGCAATGAAGACAGCGGCTGTCAAAAAGGTCTGGCACCTTTGGGGAACAATCTCCCCAAAGCCACAGGCAGCGGTGAGCAAGACATTCTGCTTTGCTTTTCAAGGGAGCTTGTGATGGCCTGAAGGACCACCAGTCCGTCTGTCCTGCGAAGCGGAGGTGTTGCCACCCTCTACCGTACCTCACAGCCAAATCCGGCTGTGCCCCTGGCCCTACCCAGCTTTTACCTTTCTTGGGCATTTTCATGTCATACATGGAGAACATATGGGAGCCATTAGACCCAGATATACATTCTTCCCTAACGAATGGCAGCATGTCAGAGAGTTGTTTATTTAACATAAAGTGTGATATTTTAAAAAAATAGCCGCAGCTCTCCTAGTGCAATAGTTTGTGTGACACTTCATGGCCTTCTTCCTGGTGCAGGATAAACAGTTAACAGGAACTAGCGGTCGGGTTTTAAATCTCCGCAGAGGACTCCTGAGCCAAACAGGAGGAGGGAGTGGACAAGATTCAGAGCGCTCCGCAGGCTGGGGCTCTGCCTGGCTGATGGCAGGCTGTTGAGGCTGTGATCTGTTAAGATCCCTGCAGATTTTCAGATCTTGCTGGCAAACTCCTGCACCACGCAGCATGGCTGGGACCTATGGCCATTAAGTACCCTTCCCATGTCTGAGCGCTTCTGGCTTGGGCAGTTGTGGAAAAAAAAGAGCTGATCGGGGATGCGCACAGCCCAAGAGGTTTGACAGGTGTGGAGGCAAAAATAAGTCCTGGTGAAGTTGTGTGTGCAGATGGACAGACCTCAGGACTGGGAGAAGGGGTGTGGGATCACATAGGACCCTACCTTCCCTGCACTACCTTCTCCTTCCACTTCTTTAGGATGTGGAAGCTTGCAAGATCCTGGCAAGATCCACCAGGAGACAGCGCTAGATCGTAAAAGGTTGAAATCTAGCCCATCGGGTGCCCTTGGCTGCTGCTGGATTTGAATGCTGTAAATATAACTGAGCATCCAAACACCACCGTCCTTTCCCCACCCAGCCCTGCGTCCCTAGCCCACCCTTCTCGCGCAGCAGCACTTGCTTTTCCTTCCGACACGCTCCGGAAACCTCCTCGCAGCACACTTGTGCTCGCTATGCTTACTGGGAAAGTAATAATTTTATTAAATCTTACAGGTCTTGTTTTTTTTTTTTTTTTTCCCCTCTCACCTCTTGCCCTAAGGACAAAACTCTCCAAAAGTGAGCACGGTTTCTCTGGGTAACGTCATCCTTGCTTGTTCATCTGTCTGAAGCAATTACTGTGGCTTCCTTAGGGATTATTTTTCAGACAAAGTGTTGACATTTTTCCCCAGTTGGGTGTCAAGTGTGTACCTGTGGTGGTAATTTCTGAGCGGCAGAAGTCTAAAGAGAGGAATGCCCTGCGGTTAATGAGGTGTTGGAAGACAGCACGGCTAAATCTGGCATTACGCTTTCCAACTTTCCATTTTAATTAGAAACCTGGATCTCCTGGTCATGCACTCATTAATTATTTTTTTTTGAGTTGAGTGACAACCCAGCCTTTCACAGGAAAAGCAACCACAATGTTTAAGTAGGGTGTTGATGCTGTTGACTATCCACATTGCTCTGTCATGCGCAGTTTTGTGTTTGCCATTGGAACATCTTCTGTAGCCTTTCCCAGGTGCTGGACCCGCAAGAGCTCCCATACCAGGGATATCAGCGGTGGCCGGGTCCTTCTCTTCCTGCAGCTCGTTGGCCTAAATCCGGGATTTGGGCAGGTCAGGCCTTAGTGGACACTGCCAGGTACTGGTTTAAGTGTCAAACTTCTCAACTCCTACCCACGGCAGGTAAGCAATTACAAGTTCATAACAGCACAGAAGGTAGAGACGGAGGGGTTCAGTCTGTGTCTCTGCCTTGAAAAACAGTGCTGCAGGTGTTGGACGTGGGCAGACGTGAGGAGGATGATGATGATGATACCCCCATGAGGTAGCCCTTGGCAGCTGAAGAGTTGCAGGGCTCCTCACCTGCCCTTAGCCTGGACCACCTTCACCGAGAGCTGAGCGTGTGTTTTACCACTCAGGTAATTAAAAGCACACACTGGTTTGTGGTGGCAGCAGAGCTGATGGGTTGTTACTTGTTCACCTTTTAATAGTGGGACCGTGTGCGCTTGGTGTGAGTTATATTACATGTGCTCGGATGTGCAAAATAAGGCAACGCTGCAGAACGGTCACAGGTGTTTGCCAGTTTAGGGATAACCAGCTAGCATACCTGTGATATGATGATACTGAAAAACCCCAAGTCATCCTACATCCTACTTCTGTCCTTAATTTTTTTTTTTTTAGGAGGGGGGAGAAGGTGCCTGTGCAGATTACATTTTTTGCAAGCATTACTTTATTTTAATGGATGTAGTTGGTGTATGCAGTAAAAAATGTGCCTTTTTGGCTGTTGGGGATTATAAGTGAAAACTGGAAATCATACTTGCAGTCCTCCAAGTGTTCAGTGTGCACAGAGTAAATACCTACAAGACCGTATGTCCGCCCTCCCCGTGGGCAGCCATGTGGAACTCTGCTATGAAGAGGACAAGAGAAGCCGCTGGCATCCCGCCATTCTCCAGGAGGAGCAGAAATTGCCTTTCGACTCGATCTCCACGCAGTTCCCCCAGATGAGAAACAGCACCAATGGGCCATGGCAATGGGTAGGTGCAAGGAGGGTGCTGGCAGGGCTGGTGCCCATGGGTGGGCGATGGTCCCCGCACCGCTGGGCTCTGCAGCTGCCAAAGCTGCCGCACGCTCCTTCCCCTCCACGGCTCTGCCGTCCCTGTGCCATCTCCCTGCTTGCCTGGGAGGACGATTAACCGCAATGCTATCGGCGCTGGGGAAAAGATTTCAGAGCCAGCAAGTGCAAAAGTTCAGGAGTACCGTAATTAGCAGAGCAATTCTGAAGTGCAGTAATTAGTAGCTAATTACTGCTGCAGAAATATGCAAGGCATAGCGCCTTTTCTTCCTCCCTCCCATGTAGAGGTGGCTTACCTGGGGTTTGCAGGGAGCACTTGTCCCATGTCCCTGTCCCCAGTGGCAAGGATGGAAAAAAGTGAAGAAGGGGGGCCCAGGTGGGATGAAGCTGAGCCCATGGACGCTGTGAGGGTGAACTCAGCCTGCTCTGCAGAGCGAAGGCCCCAGGGCTGTGCCAGAAACAGGGACTTTGGACTCACACCGGCTGGCAAGAGGCCGGGCTGTGACTGCCCCTCCGTCACGGGGGCTGGGCAGGTGCCCCCAGCGCTCTGGCAAAATGCAGGTTTCCCCTCCCAAGACCTCAGCACGCCTGCTGGCAGGAGCTGCCAGCTCATTTATATTTGCAAATCAGGATGAGATATTTGATAAATTGATAATTGATAAACCTGCGCTGCTGGTTGTGGGGCAGACGACCATCCCTGGCCATGTTTGCTCGGGGGCAAAGTGTGTCCATGAAAACCCACCTGCAGCCACAGCAGCAAGGTGCCACCCACTGGGGAAGGGCTCCGGCATTACCCCGAGTGCCCGGAGAGAATAGATTGCAAATGTCTAATTAGCAGACACTGCAGGCCTTGCCGTGGCGTTCCCAGAAGACGCGGTGTGCGTGCACACGAGGAGGCGGCTGTGCGCAGCCGGCGGAGCCCGAGCTCGGCCCCGTGTTGCATAAACAGGAGAGCTGTTTGTGTTCTCTCTGCAGAAAGTTCGGTACAGGAACACGAACTCCCTTGTTCAGCTCCGAATTACGCTGCCGTAGCTCGTCTCTGAGTGGAAAGGTTCACTTTGTAAAGCTGGGGAAGGCAGCTGAGCTGCTGTAATGCTCCTTCCAAATACACCTGCAGTTTCCAAGGGGCTATTGCACAAAAATAAAGGTAAAATGAATTAGATTACCCATCGTTTCCAAACCGGAGTGCTTTTCACCACCGACACCACTATTTCAATAATGTCATGTTTAACTCCTTTAAGTTAGGCTACGTTCATAAATGCCTTTTTTTTCCCCCCTTTACTGCTGAATAAGGAAAGTCAGGCCCAACAGGCAGGAATGTAGGAAGGGGAGCATCAGGAAAAGCATTTAGGAATCATGAGGCTCAATAGCTCTGTGCCTGTCCCTAGCCCAGCTTGTGGCCCAGATGAAGTTCACCTCGCCCCTCAGCTGTGTGAGTGGCGGCAAGTCCTGGTTTCCCTGGATTTTTTCCCCCATTCACTAGAATTGCAAAATTGGAATTATGATTGTAGAAGCAATAGAGTGCACAGGCTGTGGCCATCCCTCTGTGTGGTGGGAGCGGCGCCTGCAGCGTCTGACCCGGCTGCGTCGCCTGCCATGGCACAGGGTCCCCCAGCTCCCTCGGCGGGTGTCCCCATCGGCTGTCCCTGCTCGGGTGCTGCCGCCGGTGTGATTGGCTTTTGTGTCTCGCCACAAAGCTCATCCCTGGGGTGAAGCAGCACCATGCTCCGTTTTCACCCCCTCCCGTAAGGCATTTAGGATTTTTTACTCACGCGCCTCTTAATTTAAGACTGAATATAGCCTGCTGCAATGTTTCCTATCAAACTTTATTGTTCTGCCACTGTACCAGCATATTTTATTTACAGCTCGAAACCTTAGTCCAAGACCGACAGGAGGACCGAGCCAAACGCATTTCGGCAGCACTCCCCCTGCCATGATCCCGGGGGACGGGCTGGGCAGTGCTGCTACAGCCCCAGCCTTGCGTAAATGAAGGACTCCTGCACTTTTGCTTCCTTGGCTGCCGAATCTGTCCCATCGACCGTGGCACCCCTGGCCACATCTCCGCATACACCTCAACCGCAGCCACAGCCAGCCCATGACAAGTCACATGGGTGCAATGGAGTTAAACCTATTCCCAATTTACTTTTTAATGCAGTATCACCAGAAAGGATTTGTTAAAGGCTTCGGGCAAGTCTACAGATGAGGATACTCGCTGCCAGGTAAAGTGCATTTGACACTCAGGAAGAAGGGATTGGAAAAGTGCTGGCTCAGCAAGGCTTTGCCCCAGGGGTGCCTGGGCTGACCTGTCCCCTGGGCTGACCTGTCCCCTGTGCCCGGTCACCGTAGACATCTTCAGGTGCCTGAGGTGGAGGGGGAAAGACAAGCCGGGGTAGAGCATGGCAGCGTGGTGCTCCCGTGATGCTCTTGCCTGGCAGGCACAGGTCTTGGGCTGCTTGGGCGATCTGCTTCGTGTCAGGAGAGGAGAAACCCAGCTTCATGGAGAGTCTGGGAGCCACCAAGGGGCCCCAGTGCCGTTTTTAGAGCCCCATTTAGCCAGATGGTGGCAGTGTAGGAGGAAGCCCCTTGGGACCGGGGTGTGATGCACTGCCACCGCCATGCACCCCACGCCTGCTGCTCCATCACACCCTCAACATTGGACTTCAGTTGCTCCCACTCTGCCCCATCCTCACTGGGACAACGTCAGGGGCTTTGGTGCCTAGAACTACTTATGAACAAATTGTAGAAGAGACAGGTTTACTTAATAAATAAATACAAATAACATATGGCAGGTACTAGCATGGAATATAGCAATATTCATGTCGTAAGGGAGGCTAAGCTATCTAGGGCTTGGAGCTTTTGGCTGATGCTAGTTTAGCTCGATACGCTGAGGATATCTGCACACATTTATCCAGGCTGGCACTCGATAATGTGGCTGGTGGTGCAATCTGAAATTGCTTGAAAAGAGCATATTGGAAGCTGCATATTCAGATACGTTAACACAGCGTATCCAGGGAGGTTTTGCCTTAGAATGTCTGGGGACAATAAAAGCACACGTTCCCCTGGTATCTGGGGTGTCCTTGGGGTGCCTTTGGCCATGTTTCTGGGTGCCTGCCCGGGGCAGGTTTGTGCGTGTCCCTGGGAGCTGCAGCGTGGTCATGGCATGAGCCGGCCCCGCATTGCCAGCAGACGGCAGGGGGAGGCAGGGGTGCCGGTGGACCTTGGGAGGGTGCCGGGGCTTTCCCCCTCATCTCTGCAAAGCTTTGTGCAGTGGAGGAGCTCTGCTTTGTGTATTTTTGGTAAAGCCTTTACCTAAAGCTTGGAGCTCTAACATTTGGCTCTGTCATACTAGCCAAAAAGAGAGAGAGCGAGGGAAAAGGAGGAGGCGAAGGTCGGGTTTTGGGGTTCGGGTCATCTCTGAGCTCCCAGGACGGGGCTTAGTCAGCCGAGACGGGTAGCGGGAGGAAGAGGATCGCCTTCTGGCCATAGTGAGTCCGCGGCCCCAGCTTGCTGTTCCCATTCTTCTTCAGACCAACAAACCAGTTCTTATCTGCGTGCTTTTTGGAGACGTATGTGTTGTAATGGTTTTCTTCGATCCTTTCAAGGAACAGGCACTCCTCACCCAGTAACTGCTGAAAGAGAGCCCCGGGTAATGATGGTGAGACAGGGCGATGCTGTAGGGAGGAGGACGCATGTTCCTAACACAGCAATCCTGGCTTGGATGCTCCCTGGCTAGGATGCTGTCCAGACCCGCCTCTGAGACCTTCGTGCCCCAGTAAAGCTTGTATTTAAAGTGTGGAGGTAAGTAGCCTTGATTTAGTCCCGTGGGCTACTCCTGCAGTAACTTTTCCGTGACCTGGGCATTTTATTTGGCAGTAACCGAGCCCGGCTGCACGCTCCGTAAGCCAGTCCTGGCACTGGCCCCTGCTCTGGCACTAACCTGTGCCGTGGCAGCTGCGGGTTCAGGGCATGAGCACAGGGAACAAAACAGCTCTTTGGTGAGGCTAAGCAGCCGGTGACCAGGATTACGTGTCACGCACTTTGCTATAAATGGGACTGGTCTCAAAGAGCCGGATTATTTTTGGTGACTTCATGGCCTACAGTTCCTGCGTGCAGGGGTAAAGCTCCTGCCTTGCACAATCCCGCTCACACTGGGATGTCATGGATGCTGTCACTGCCTCTGGCATGGGGCTCAGTGTGACCAGGATAGAGAGGAAAAATGTGGGGAGGTCTTTGCTCAGTGGCCATGGGCCATTGCTGGGGGATGCTTTGTCTCACAGCCCTGCCAGCGGCCCTGAACCCCCTGGCAAAGCCGTGGAGAGGCAGCCGGAGGCAGGGGCGTGGGTAAGGGGCTGGAAGAGCTGGGCTGGAGCTGCACCCACCCTGCACTGCCGGGGTCCCCCCACGGCCCCGCTGGCAGAGCGGGCAGCTGCCGAGGGAATGCAAAGCAGCTGCTGCTCCAGATAGGGAATAGGATATTTGTCAAGTGTTTGGGGCAGGGTGGTAAATGGCATTATTTGATTATTTATTTCCCCCCTCAAATAAAGCCGGATGGAGAGTGGCCATCCAGCTACCAAAATAACAAACAGAGGCTAATTGTTGCTTGCGGTTTGCATTACTCAGAGCTACGAGATTTCTGCAAACCTCAAACCCTCTCCGTGTCTGGTCCCACATAAACCTCCTACTTACCGAGCCGTAGAGCAGCCCGTTGGTGTCCATGGCCAGGTACTGCCCAGACTTGGTGCTCTTTATATACACCTCTCCCACGCTTTCCGCGCTCAGCTGAAGTTGAACTGAAAGTAAAAATAAAACAACAACAAAAGTAGAAAGAAAATAGGAGAAAGGAAAGAAAAAAAGGTGGTCAGAGATAATGTCCAAGCTGCTAGGAAAGTTAGCAGGGTATTTTTGTTCTGAAGTCTGGCTTATAAGGAGTTTATAAGAAACAGTACAGCGTGTAATAAAAGTGTCTCCTTGTACCCTCTCCTTCGCAGAAACCCCACAGCCATGCCTTAGGAACCAAAGACCAATTTTTTCCTTCTTTTACATCAAAGGGCGGGCAGCTTTTTGGTTAAGACGCTGGAATGGGACACAGGAGATTGGGGTTTTAATTCTGGCTCTAATTTACAAATTTCTAATGTGGTTTTGACAAGACACTTAAGGAGTGACATATGAAGAAGTATTTTGAGAGCTAAACCAGGGATGGGCAGAATTCAGATGCCTGCATTGCAAAACCCTGATCCAAAGCATCCCATCCAGCAGTGTGCCGGGGCTGGCGTTATCCGGTGTGTCGTAGGCGGATAGTGGAAAAATAAAAAGGGCTGATCTTCATCCTAAAAAATACCTGCTGTAGCATTAAAAATACCATGAGCCACATCTTAGGTTGTCCTAGTTGGTGGCGCTAACATGAATTTGATGCTAAACCAAGGTCTGAGCCTGCCAGCGAACAGGCTGGGCGGGAGCGATGGGTTCGTGGTGATGCTGTGTTGCTTCATGCAGCGTAGCAGCTTCCCGTTCCCGATGCTGGACTTCAACTAGGAACTCTGGGGCAAAAAAAGCTCCTTGTTGGTCTTGTACTGTGGGAGGGGAGCAGCTCAGCTGCAGGCCGGGGTGTCTGGGCCACCTCCCTCCTCTGCTCGGCATCCTGAACCTAACCTGGCAGGTTTAACCTTTCTATCTGTCTGGTTACTTTTTTTTTGCCCTGTGGGTTCCTTTTTTTCTTACTTTGCTAATTACAGGAGTCTCGGAAAATGATTAAAACTTGGCTCGAGTTCTTGTTTAACATGTTTATCAGGCAGAGGCAAGGGGAGAGGCCCTTTGGTTGGCGAGAAGCTCTGGGAGGAGAGCTCTCTAGCACTGTGCATTCAGAGAGGGCCCCGTGCTGCTCTTGTGGGTCGGCAGAAAAACTGAAGTCTGAACAATTCGCGGCCCAGCCGGCATGTGTGGAGGGCTGCGGTCATCCAGAGTGTGACTTGCAAAATCCAACTTTTCCAAATGATCTTTCCCATCTCAGCTTTTTTTCCTGAGCTTACACTGTAGAGATTTCTAACAGAAATATTCAGATGGTTTGAATGAAGTATGAATGGATGCCTCAGCTCCAACTCCTTCCTTCTTTTTTAATTTGTTTTAGTTTATCCTTTTTTGGATGAGGTAGAAGGTAACGTTACCTCTTGGCATGGCAGAAGCCCTCATCCCAGTGAAATCTTTGCTGTAATGGTTCACATTCTTCACTTTTGATGTTTCCTGCTCAGTAAATTGTGCTTAATTAGTAAATTGCCTGGGTGCAGATTTGCAGTCATACACAGTCCTGGTGCTTGCCTGCGGGAGAGCCCCCAGCCCCCTGGCATTCACTGCGCTGCTGCAGCCCCAGGACGTAGCCAAGGGGAAAGAGGGAAATGAGATGAAAACAAAACACTGTCCTAAAAACTGCCTTTGAGAGAGAGGAGTGGGGGCACCCCCCAGCTGCTGATGGGGACATTAAGGTCTCTGGCTGCAGAAGAGGGGAGAACAACGGGTCCAGAGGAAGGAGCTGATGCACAATCTCTTGTGTTTTTTACAGGGATAGATATTTCCTTCCACGAAGTAATGGGATGAAACAGAGAAAATAAGGCTGCTTGTGGAAACTAGCATGGGCTTCATCCTCGAGGGTCTACAATGTCCTGACAAGTTTTCTTTTCATCTCACAGCGCAAGCTCGAGATGCCCGCACATGGCAGCAAAGAATGCGGTGAGGGAATCATTACGTAGGGCTGGACGGCAAGGGCTTGGAGTGAGTAACTTCTGTTCTCCTTAGAGACCTTCCCTGATTCTGGGGCTAGCACCTGGCAGGCGATTTAAGATGAAAATAAGAATTCTTGATGTTTATCTGGAACAAAATGCACATGGGAGCAGGCAGTTATTTGCAAAGCACCAATGCAGGCTCTAACACGGCTGTGCATGCTGGCTCCTTGGATGAGCCGTGGGCATTCCAGTGCCTCGTCCCTCCCCAGGAGCCTCGCTCCCTGCTATCACCCCCAGGTTTCCCATACGGATCTGGCTTTCTCCATGCTGGCAGGTGCTTGTCCCAGCTGTGTAAGCAGCATCCCACGGTGGAGGTCACGGTCCGGGCTGCTCTGCTCGCACGCCAGGGAGCGGTGCTGAGCAGCTCTGGCGTTTGCCAGGCACAGGGGCAGGACCGTGGGCAGTTGGTGTTGGTGTTCAGAGGCAGGATACCTCTCCGGCAAGGCTGCTCCGCTGGCACGCAGCCCTTCCAGGAGTTTCCTCTGTAAATATTTGTATGTTCGGATATCCAAGTTTACGAGATCATTTACAGGAGGTTCCTTCTGGCAGAAGTTTCCAAACATGTGGCTCCAGGCCAGCAGCCGGCGAGGTGCGAGCGTGCCGGGGCGCAGCGGGTGGCATACACAGGAGCTGCCTGCGCTTGCCTGTGTGCGTTGTGTGGCTCTGGGGACCAGCAGCCGGAGGGGAAACGCTTGCTCTGAGGGGATGGGCTTGCTTTGCCAGGGAGAAAAAGGCTGGGCTGTGTGGCTGTATCCATGCTGTGAGATGGGATTGAGGCTGGGATGCAGAGGCTGGACACTCGTGTCCTTGTTAGCACCCTGTGTCTCAGGAGATGCTGCCTTGCTGTTGTGTCTGCAGACCCGTGCTGAGCTCCCCGGGGCACACGGGTGTCTCTGCGTCCCCCTTCTGACTCCAGCAAAATCTCAGCATTGGCAAAATGCGGCAGAGATGCCTGTTGAGCTTGTACGGCCTCTCCAGCTGCCGGCTTGTGGGTCCTGTGAGCCTCGTCCTGTCTTCTGCAGATCCTTTGGGTCAGCATCCTCCTGTGCTCTTGCAGGGGTTTGGGAAGGGTTACATGCCTGGTTTATTCCAGGCTGGAGGCTGCCTGCCCCTCGCTGTCTTTACCCAGCCTCGTGAGCTCATCCTCACCCGTCCCCCAGCACTGCCGTGTGTTGCGTGAGTGGTGGGGAAACAGCGTTTATAGTTAAAACTCTGCTATAAACTGCCCTTCATTAAAACAATAACAAGAAGGAAGGTTAACTTTGGAGGAGAAAGCCACATGTATGCTTGTGGTTTAAAGAAAATAAAAGTGCTTTTCTTAGAATTTGTAAGGCAGACTTGGCTCCTCCCAGCCCTTCTTTCTAACCAGATAGGAGCCTGGCAGGTCCCAGTTATATTCCAGTAAATGTTCAGGATATGGCATACCCAGAGGTTTCTGCTGAGAACTGAGAGCTCCGGCACGCGGTGGTGGGGAAGAGCCCGGACCCGCTGCCCACAGAGCCCCGTGGGGAGCTTTGCTGCGCTGCCAGTCCAGCTCTCCTCAGGCATGGGTTTAAAAAATCCTCTCAAGAGCCCTAAAAGCTTAGAACTTCCCAACCAATTCCTTGGATTTTTGTGTCTTTGCCCTCACACAGCCATTTTCTCTTTTGTTGAGTGGTTTGCCTGGGGGTTTGCACTGCGCAGCCCCGCTGGTCACCGCTGACGGCCTGGCTGGGCTCAGCAGGGAGAGCTGCCGAGGGCAGGGGGCTTCTTGGTGTCAGGGCTGGGTATTCGGCTCTCATCCAGCCGCCTTGTGTGGCAAAGAAGAGCGCCTCAGCACCGCAGCTTAGCTTGGTCGTGTGAGCTGCTGGCAGGGAAAGCGCTTTCGATAACTTCGGTGCCATGGATGACTACTTGAAAAGGACAAATGTGCACCTTTCCTTGCCATACAGAATAATATTACTGATTTTTTTTTTTATATCAGGGTTTGCCCTAGATAGTCTGCAGCACTGTTATCATAGTAGCGTTTACATGATGGGTGTTTTTTGGTGAGCAAGCCCTGCCAGCTTCCTAGGATGAACTTTGATGCCAATTACAGAGAACGAATGTGCTCCTAGAAAGGCGGTGGGATGTGCACATGGTAAGAAGAGTGTTGGTATCTTCATGGGCAGTTCATCCCAGCAGCAGGTCCCCAACATCCCATGGGCTGGAGCCACTGGCATCACTGACTGCAGGGCACGGGGATGGGCGAGAGGAGCTGTGGATGGCCCTTTAAACCTTTGCGACAGGCAGATGCACCTAAAATGTCTTGAAACTGCTTCAGCACACAATAAGCCATACTTGTTTTCAGTTAAAAAAGTGAATGGTAACATGAATGCATTTCTAAAGCCGTAAGTCACAAAATAACTCTTTCACCTGCTTCTTGCTTATGTTGGGATTTGCATCCTGCAGGAATTAAACTTCCTGCATAAGGGGAGAGGGAAATTCCTCAAAGGCAAGGGGACACTGTGTGCAGAACATACAGATAAAATCTGTTCTGCACGCAGAGGAACCTAGGCCTGACCTCCCACTCCGGCTCGCGACTTGATGTGCGAAGAGGCACAGCTGCAGCGCGCCGCCGGGAAACGCTGCATTGGCACAGCCCGTGATTGTGCTGAATCTTCTAACCCAGAGTAAATGCAAAGATACCATAGAATTATGCGCGATGGCTGCGCGTGTGTAGGCTGTGAGGCTGCTCCTAAGCCGTTTTTCCCAGCTGCCGGCTTGCTGCGTAAGCCAGCCGTGCCGCAATTAGCGCTTTGCTCCTGTATGGTCTGCCTGCCCGCGATTATTTTGATAACCGGTTTCAGTCTGAATACTTCTGCAGATGTGAAGTAGCACACAGACCGTGCCTCCCTGGGCTCTGCGTCCCAGCTACAGGTGTGTTTGGTGCGTGTGCTGGCTCCTGGAGGGTGTGCTGCCACCAGGAGAAAAGAGACCCTGGTACAGAGCCTGTCTTCTCCAGCTCCCCCCTTCCTGGCTGATAAAGGCTGATAAAACCACAGGAGCAAGGAGGAGCCCCAAGAAGCCCCATCAGGTTTGCTTACTGTGCTGGTCGCTTCGGTCCCTGGTCCCATCCACTTTGCCATCTGGGAGGATCCGTAGGAAGTGGCCGCCGTTGCTGCAGTACAGGAGTTTGGGTTTCTTGTAGTTCCCCAAGGGAAGGTTGAATTTTTCGGTCAGGGCAGTGAAGGTGGTGATTTCCCCTTCTGCCATCTCTCAGCCTCTGCCGGCGGCCGGGCTGCAAGAGAAGCGGCGGCGTATGGCAGGGGCAGCAGCACCGAGTGCTCGGCACACGCCGCTGCTGCCAGGCTTTTAAAGGGAGGGGAGGGAGCCCGGTGGTCCCTGGCCGGTACCCGGGCTGGCTGCGGGGCAGGTGATTCACACCACGGATGATGGGTCCGGCAGTGACACAGCCCAAAAGGTGATGCTCCCCCAGCGTGGGAGGTGTGTGGGGGGGTGTTGTCTCCTCACTGGGTGTAGCTGGGCGGTAGGGACTCTGTCCTTTTAATTTTATCATAGTAAATTCTGTTTTCTTTCTGCTTTCTATTGACGTACGTGCTAAAATTACACGCTCACAAAATAAGGTTTGAAAAACACTCAGTGTCTGATTGAAACCCACAAGAGGCAGGAAGGGAGCCCAGGTTAATAACTCTCTCCGCTATTATAACTTTCAAACAGGATCATGACTAGGTACTGCAACACGTACCACATGCCAGATAGCAAATATTACTTCATATCTTGGCACTCTGCATCTCACCTGGCCAAGGCACACACATACTAAAGGTCAGAACAAATGTTAGATATTGTGGGAGATGAACAGGGGGGCAGGAGGCTGTGGCTGCCCGGGCAGCAAGCAGGAGTTTATCCATACACTGATCAATGGCATGTGGGGAAAAGGAACTTTGAGTCTCAATTATACCATGTTTGTGCACCCTTGCATCTCAATAAAAGTGGTTAAAAGGGAAAGGCAAAGCTCTGTCTGATGCAGAAGGGTGTAATGGGCACTACTGGTGCTCAGGAGCAGCAGGCACCATCTCGTGAGCGTGCTCCTTCCCGCGGGGCTCCTGTGCTCTCCTGGGGGATTGGGGAAATGCACGGAGATCGTATTGAAACCTCATTTTCCAAGACACTGTGTGGTCATGATCCATGTTTTAGCAGGTGCTGTGCCAAAACTCAGAGGTGTCATCAGACCGATAAGAAAGATGCAATGAACGTCGGAGGGTGAGACCTGCCATTGCGGCCGTGGCCATGGCATCAGGAGGTGCCGTGGCCAAGTGTGGGTGGGGACCAGAGCCCCACATGTAACCCAGGTATATTCAAATTTATCTGAATGGTTTTGGACTAGAAACTGTATTTAAAATCCCCCGTAAATGTGCTGTCCTTCATATACAAAGTCCTGCAGTGCTTATGAGAAGTGGATTTATGAACAGAAAAAGACAGGGCGCAGTACAAATCTAGAGACAGGAAATGACTTTAAATGCAGTGTATTCCCATAGCTACAGTATGAGAAGTATAGTCACTGTTTATGTATATTTACATATTTATGGATTGTAAAAATGTCTATTTAGTACTGAGTTGTGCTACTGGTACATTAGGATGGAACCAGTATCATACTGTGCAGGTTTGCCGTGGTACTTAGAGTGACCTGGGAGATATTAAGGACTGCAACTCTTTGCAATACAAACACACACATATATGTCCATATAATCTCTAAACATTTGGCTGTAAACTCTTAAGTACGTAAATTTGCAAATGCAGCTGCAAGGAGGGGGAACTATTCCTTCAAGTAGATCCCAAAAGCCTGCAGAAGGTAAAAACGTATGGAAGTTGGACTGCTAAAAGCTGACACCTTGGAAATGAAGACTTCATCGCTATTGCTGAAAACAGACCCAGCCATTTCAGCCAGCTTTGGTTAGTACATGGCCTTCATCCCTTACTCTCAAATGTGTCCCCTTGGGGTCTCTATCAGAACAGAGAGATTTCCTAGGAGAGGAAAACACATCTGTAGAGGAAAAAAATATTCCCTGCCACCCCAGGCCTCAGTTCCTTCTGGTAGCTGCTGGTTCACAACAGCTTCTCTTTCCTCCTGACTATCAGCCCACGTTTTGCTGCAGATGGAGGTATTAAATCACTAACAGAACAGCTGAACACAGAGTCAAAATGCAGGGACATACTATTTTAAACTTTTCCCCACTGCCCTTTCCCCTGAACCATTTTGATCTTGTTTGGCAAGTCACGTTTTTCTGGACCAACACCTACCAAGTGTTGCTTTATCAGCCCAGCGCTTCCTCAGCTCTGTGTTGTTTTGCACTGGAGGCTGTTTTGGTTCTTGTGTAGGTTTGAAAACCATCTCCAGGCTTGCTTCCCCCTGTGTTGTGCATCTCCCCAAAGCTCACTTTTGCTCTGGAGCAAAGCCTAAAGTATCAACCTTCTCCCAAGGAGTCCGGCCAAGTTTTACAACCACCTCTGCTGATACCCTTGCTTCTGCATCGCACAAAAGCCACGTCCGTCTCGGTGCCATTGCTTTCAGACTTTGTATGTTTGGAAGTGGTGAAGCTTCGCAGATCCCCCATTCAGCACAGGCCAGGTTTTTGGGAAGTCCTTTCTGCAGGTGATAACATGGGCTGGCCCTGTTATTCTGCGATGGGGCGCTGAAGCAACCCACGAGAGCTCAGGACTTCTCCTGGTGGCTTTCCAAGGCAGCTGATGGACTTGCTAAGCATAGCTTCGAAATCCTTTTTTAACACATTTGTCAGAGAGCTGAAATTAGGTATTTCTCAGAGTGTCTGGTCCCAAAATTTGTTTTTCTGTCAAGAGATCATACTTTTCTTGTAGTAGTTCTGTTTCTAATGCCAACTGTCTGCCAAACTTTCTCTGAACGAAAGCCTTCAAGTCGTTCGATGTGGTACATAAGGCTTTAGTGTTTTACTGAGCATTAATCAAGATCAGTGGTACTGTGTAATTCGCTGGAACTAAAGCTTTTCTTGAGCCTTTATCTGCGGGTAGAAGGCACTCAGAAGTCTCCTGGGTTGATGATGGATAGAAGTGAGAAACAAATATCCCAAAGCCTAGAGCTCCGATCAGGATCTCAGCAAACTTAGGCTGCAGCCGGCATGAGCGAGGAGTGGGCTGGGATGATCCCCTTGGTCATCTGGAGGCCTGTGCATTCCAGGGCATCTACAGATAGCTTTAACAGAGCAGCTCGACTGGAAACGGCTGCTTCGTTTTCACATGTTTCCTTTAAGGTTTTTTTTTCTATTTTTAGACTGGGTTCAGTGCTCACCAGCTGCCTTTGACTCCATAAGAGGAGCTGAATGAACGCTCTTTTCTACTCTCATTGTCTCTCCTTGCTAAATAAGACTGCTGTCCTCATACTTTTATGACTGTGGAGTCAGTACTCGACACACACCACCACTCATGGCCCTACTATTATACTTTTGGCAGGAATGTGTTAGATTTTTATGGGAGTTAAAAAGCAAGAGTGAGAGAACCTGAACCAAAGACAACATAAAGGACCTTATTTTTTTGGGTAAAAGCCCAACAAAATGATTAAATAGCTCAAAGTGGAACAGAAAACTCTCTCCAAGATGCTAAGCTGAGAGACACCACACTCCAGCAGTTATGTGGCGCCCTATAGAGAAAGGAAAATATTCCAACAGGAGATTGCTGTAGGAGTAATGGCTGCTGCCGAGCAGTTGACACCGCTGGTCGCGCTAGGACAGTAAGTTGGAGCCCCAGTGGGAGAGTGTTTGTCCAAGACCAGCTGTGCTCGTGGCTCTCCTCTTTCCTCCCACCCCTGCGTGACGCACTCATCCACTTCGCTCCCGTAGCTTTCCTGTGCTGTGTTGCCTAAGAGAAAACCATGGCTGAGGATGAAAGGCATCATCACCGGGAGCTGGACCCAGGGCATCTGCACTGGACCCAGGGCATCTGCACTGGGGTGGCCCCAGCTCCTTCTGCAAGCAGAGGGTCCCACCAGCAGCCTGGTGGGACTCGACTCTTCCTCCTGGGTTGTGGAAGGAGATGTCAGAACCCCAAAAGATCAGAAATAGCTTTCTGAAGAAAAAAAGAAAAGGACTTAAAAAGAGACTTAAACCCGAATGTTAATTTCTACCAGGCCCTACTGAACTTTGGTGGCTGGAAGACTGCAGCGTGCGTGTTCCTTGCAGCAGCAAGGAGAGATGAACCCGGCATGGGACCGGAATAGCTGTGAAATTCTGAGAAGTTTGGGTTTGGTTCCAAACTTTATCACCAAGCGCTGCTGCTGCAGCGGCCAAACCAGCGGCTTTGATGTGAAATCCCAAGCTCTGCAAGCATCTGAGTCTGAACATCGAGGGCCGGTTGCGTTGCCAATAACAGGCGAGCTCTGTGTGAGCTCCGAAATAACAGTGCACGCTGGGGGCCATGGAAAAGGAGTGAGGTCCTTTTTCCTTCCTGTTTTAAAATCAGTGCAGACTTCACTAGGTAGTACCATTCTCCCCTTTGCTTGCATTACAAAGCTGGTGTTGATGACAGTTTGGCAACTTGGGGGATTGCTAATGGCCCAAAAGTTTTTTGCGTGTGCGGATTGCCAGGTCACACTCAGACTGGGCTCTCCGTGGCTTCAAGGGTATTTTCGCGGCTCTCTTGTGGCGCCCGTGACACAAATTTAGTGGCCAGCTAAGGCTAACCTGCCATCAGTACCATGCGCACCCCAGGTTTTCGGCAGCAATCTCAGGAGAGAAGCCAGGCGGGGAGGAGCCGTACTGGGTCCCGTGGGGCTCCCGGCAGAGCTGGGCGCTCTTCGGGTACATCCCTCTGCCTGGGGCAGCAGCCCTGTGGTGGTCCCTGCTCCCCAGGGGAATTAACCCCAGCCCTTTTCTGGCCACCCCTCTGTACACGTGCAGTAGCTGGAGGCTACAAGGATGGGAAGTTGCTGCTTCTCAGCTGGGAGATAAGCATCTTCCACTGCCATCCACAAACCTCCATCCACCAGTCAAACTCATTGGTAGCTCAATGAGCAGTCTTGTCAGAGACTGCAAAGCTTACCTAAACCAAGAGTAGTGAGGAACTGTGGGGAGCCAGAGTCCCTTGTCCCATTGCTAAAATTTCTCTACCTATTTTTCTTCCCTGCCCGACACTTCTTTCATGCTTCTTTTTCTTTAGATTCCTCCTGGCATGCTTGACTAGGTCTGTTTTCCTGAGATCAGCTGCAGCAATTTTGTGTATTCGTGAAAGCACATTGCACGAGCGGCTGCT